CAGTCTCTTTGCTAAAGCATAGCATGAGTGAGCTTTACTCCAGTTCCCAATAAGTTCCTCGTCTCCATCTGAGACCGCCTCAGTCTGGACTTCATTGTTCACATCACTATCAGCATTTTGGTTGAAACCATTCAACAAATCTCTAGGAGGTTCCAAACCTTCCCACATCTTCCTGTCTTTTTCTGAGCCCTCCAAACTGTTCCAACCTCTGCCCATTACCCAGTTCCAAAGTCCCTTCCACGTTTTCTTTTTTTTTTTTTTTTTTTGAGGCGGAGTCTCGCTCTGTCGCCCAGGCTGGAGTGCAGTGGCCCGATCTCAGCTCACTGCAAGCTCCGCCTCCCGGGTTCACGCCATTCTCCTGCCTCAGCCTCCCGAGTAGCTGGGACTACAGGCGCCCGCCACCTCGCCCGGCTAGTTTTTTTTTATTTTTTAGTAGAGACGGGGTTTCACCATGTTAGCCAGGATGGTCTCGATCTCCTGACCTCGTGATCCGCCCGTCTCGGCCTCCCAAAGTGCTGGGATTACAGGCTTGAGCCACCGCGCCCGGCCTCACGTTTTCAAGTATCTTTATATCAATACCCCACTCTCTCCAGTACCAATCTACTGCATTAGTCACTATTCACACTGCTATAAAGAAATACCTGAGGCCGGGTGCAGTGGTTCACACCTGTAATTCCAGCACTTTGGGAGGCCGAGGCAGGCAGATCACTTGAGATAGGAGTTTGAGACCAGCCTGACCAACATTGCAAAAGCCCGTCTCTACTAAAAATACAAAAAAATTAGCTGGGCATAGTGGCGTGCACCTGTAATCCCAGCTACTTGGGAGGTTGAGGCATAGTAATTGCTTGAACCCGGGAGGCAAAGGTTGCAGTGAACTGAGATCGTACCACTGCCCTTCAGCCTGGGGAAGAAAGTGAGACTCCCGTCTCAAAAAACAAAACAAAACAACAACAACAACAAACCCTGAGACTGGGTAATTTATAAACAAAGGAGGTTTAATAAGCCCACAGTTTGGCATGGCTGGGAGGCCTCAGGAAACTTACAATCATGGTGGAAGGGGAAGCAGGCTGCTTCTCAAGGCCGAGAGTATGAGCATGTGAAGGAGGAACTGCCAGACCCTTAATCAACCATCAGATCTAGTGAGAACTACTCACTGTCACGACAACAGCATGGGGGAGACTGTCCGCATGACTCAATGACTTCCCTCCCCTGACATGTGAGGATTACAATTTGATATGAGATTTGGGTGGGGACACAGAGCTAAACCATATCACATGCCTTGAGGAAAGGTTAAACCACTGGAAAGTGTTTATAGGTGGGAGATTTGGGGTTCTTGCTTGAATCACCAGGTGAAAGTTGATTATGTTAGTGTTCTTGCCTTATATATTACTGACTCAGGCCTACCTTGAAGGGTCATTGGTCACTTAAGTTATAAAATTATTTCACATCCTTTTATATGTTTCATGTCAATATTGGGTTAATATTTCTATCCCAAATTTTCAGATAAGAAGGTTAACTGATTAGGTTGTGTGGCCAGTAAACACTAAAAAGCCAAGACTAAACACTTTGTAATGTACCACGATGGCTACATATTTACTTTTTTTTTCCCAACTTTTTTTTTTTTTTTTTTTTTTTTGGGATGGAGTCTCGCTCTGTCGCCTAGGGTGGAGTGCAGTGGCGCCATCTCGGCCCACTACAACCTCTGCCTCCTGGGTTCAAGTGACTCTCCTGCCTCAGCCTCCCGAGTAGCTGGGACTATAGGCGCCTGCCACCATGCCCGGCTAATTTTTGTATTTTTAGTAGAGATGGGGTTTCACCATATTGGCCAGGCTGGTCTTGAACTCCTGACCTCAGGTGATCCGCCTGCCTCGGCCTCCCAAAGTGCTGGGATTACAGGCGTGAGCCACCGCGCCCGGCCCTGTTCCCAACTTTTTACTGTGGTAAAATACACATAAAATGTACCATTTTGTGCATACATATAATTTGTAAGTGTCCAGCTGAGTGGTATGAAATATATTCATGCTGTACATCCATCACCACCATCCGTCTCCAGATCGCTTTCATCTTGTAAAACGCAAAGTCTGTACCCATTAACCACTAAGCCCCCACGCCTCTGCCCCGCCCTGAGAGCACCACTCTTCCTGTCTCCATGAACCTGACTGCGCTAGGCACCTCATATGAGTGGAACCGCACAGCATCTGCCTTTTTGTGACTGGCTTATTGCACTTAGCGCATGTGCTCAAGCTTCATCCATGTCACAGCATGTGTCGGAATGTCCTTTCTTTTTCAGGGTGAATAGTATTCCACTGTTACATACTTTTAACAAACATGCCTTGAGAACTTACTGTGTGCCAGGCACTGAACTGAGTGACAGCATGTTGAAATGAGTCATATATGGTCACAGTCTTGCAGGGACGCCAAGTCCTTAGCAACTGCACTGCAATTTGTAAGTCAGCTGCAGAAGTTTAAACACAGGGATGTGGAAACATCTAGATGGAGCAGCAGACTCCACTGGAGTTAGCCGAAGGACAACCTGAGAAGCTAGTCTTGGAAGGTGAACAGCTGTTTGTGACTGACGAATGGGCGATGCGGGGGGAGGGGGAAGGTCGTTCCAGCAAAGGGAACAGCACATGCAAAGGTGTGGCACAAAGGGCCTGACTGCCCAGGTAGGGGGAAGCAGTGCAGCAGATTGGGGGGGCAAGGAGGCCAGCTGTACAGACGGCCGGGGCACCAGCCCAAGTCTGTCAATGCAGCATGACTCCATCCACTGGGAGGGGGGATGTGAGCAGCTGTTTATACCCATTTCCGCTCTCGGTCCCTTTTCAAACCCTAACCCCAGTTATTCTGTTTCCTCAGCTGAACTAGATGCAGAGCACGCCCAGAAGGTCCTGGAAATGGAGCACACCCAGCACATGAAGCTGAAGGAGCGGCAGAAGTTTTTTGAGGAAGCCTTCCAGCAGGACATGGAGCAGTACCTGTCCACCGGCTACCTGCAGATCGCGGAGCGGCGAGGCGAGTTGGGGCCGGGGCTGCTGGAGCAGGGACTCACTGGCTGTGCGGGGTGGCGATGGGCTCCTCTCCCGGAGCAGGGCATGGGGCAGAGTCCTCAGAAGTCCCGTTCTGTTATTAGACTCCAGCAACCAAAATGTGTGCATCGGGCCACCTATCTCTTACCCTGATTTTGCCTCTTCTATCAGTCTAGGCTTTAGTTGAAGATGTATTTTTTTAATACCTCTAAAGATTACAGATACGGCCAGGCGTGGTGGCTCACGCCTGTAATCCCAGCACTTTGGCAGGCCAAGGCAGGCAGAGCACCCGAGGTCAGAAGTTTGAGACCAGCCTGGCCATCATGGTAAAATCCCATCTCTACTAAAATACCAAAAGTAGCCAGGCATGGTGGCGCATGTCTGTAATCCCAGCTACTCAGGAGGCTGAAGCATGGGAATCGCTTGAACCCGGGAGGCAGAGGTTTCCGTGAGCCGAGATCGCGCCATTGCTCTCCAGCCTGGGGGCAGAGTGAGACTGTCTCAAAAAAACGAAGATTACAAACACAAATTAGGCTTCTAGAAATTACCAAAATGGACAAAAGGAAAATTGCCCTTAATTCTCCAGGACAGAATAATCCCTGTTACTGCTTTTCATGCGTTCTTTCTAGTCTCTGTCGAGTCTGCTTATTTAATTGCGATCTGACTGGACCGTACATATATATGGCTTTGTCTCTAATTTTTCTTCATGTTATATAGGACTCTTTCCCCCGTTGTTAAAAATACTTTGAGAGGTTGTGTGTCAAAGGCTGCATCTTTTTGTCATGATGTATCCTAATATATTCCACCAGTTTTCCTAGCTGAACATTTAAAATCTTTCCCTCGGTAAATAGTGCTGTAAGGAACAAGCCAATTAGACGTCCAGACACCGAACTCCTTTCCAGCTTTTCCTTTGGAAGAACCCAGTGACTCGGAGGTGCAGCAGGGGTGAGCAGGGCAGTGGCGCCGGGCAGCTCACATTTTCCCACCAGCCTGCACCGCACAGGCAGGACCAGACCCCAGGCAGCGGGGAGACCCGTCCAAACCTTCCCCTGTTTTCCTGCCCTCCCATTCTCCTGAATTTCTCGTCACCTCCTGGACACCTCCCTCACCTCTCAAATCTCAGCCTTCATCCTCTCCCCAGGCTTGCCTGGCCCTGGCCTTTGTTCTCTCTATCCTGCCCCCAACCACATCCTCCAGGAGTGTTTCTTCCTTGTCATCCAGTTCTATGTCCCCTCCAAGGAGAAGTTAAAGAAATCTAAGAATGAGGCCGGGCGCGGTGGCACATGCCTGTAATCTCAGCCCTTTGGGAGACCAAGGTGGGTGGATCATAAGGACAAGAGATGGAGACCAGCCTGGCCAACATGATGAAACCTCGTCTCTACTAAAAATGCAAAAATTAGCCAGGCGTGGTGACACGCGCTTGTAATCCCAGCTACTCAAGAGGCTAAGGCAGGACAGTCGCTTGAACCCAGGAGGCAGAGGTTGCAGTGAGCTGAGATCGTGCCACTGCACTCCAGCCTGATGACAGCGAGACTCCATCTCAAAAAATAAATAAATAAATAAAAAGAAATCCAAGAATGAGGAAAGAAAATAATGTTGAGAAAAACAGATGAACAGCAGTAGCTGAAGACCTCATAGTGTGCTGGTGAACGCAGTCAGTCAGTTGTGAGGAAGATGCTTGTTTACCTTCCAACGCACAGGGTAGGTTTGAAGCTTAACAAGTTCTCTAGAGTCAGCCTTCGCCGTTCTTGTAACCCGTGACCCTGCCTTTGTCCTCCGTGTGTTCCTCCAAGTGGACGTACAGGATTCTCTTAGTTCTGTGTTGGCTGCGAGTTGTAGAGAGTGGCTTTCCATGGCTCCTTTGGGAGGAAGGAGAAGGTTTGCTCCAGGGATTTTTATCCCATTATGGGTAGAAGCAGAGAAGGACACTGTTTTAGCCCCGCTGCCATAACGAAACCATGTGGACTGGGTGGCTTGAACAGTCGACATTTCTTCTCCCTCAGTTCTGGAGGCCTCAGGTCCAAGATCAGGGTGCCGGCATGATCGGTGTCTGATGAGGGCTCTCTTCCTGGCTCATAGGCGGCCCCCTTCTCCCTATGTGTGCACGTGGCCAACAGCAGGGTGGAGCCCTCCGCTGTCTCTTGGTATTAGGGCTAATCTCGACCACAGGCACCATGTCCACCTGACCTCGTCTAACCTAATCACCTCCCAGCGGTCCCAACTCCAGGTATCCTCATCTTGGGGGTTAGGGCTTCAACATACAAATTTTAGGAGACACATTCAATCCATACAGATACACCCTGGCCGACCCGCAAATTTGAACATAATGACACATCGCAGCAATGTCTTATGTCATAGAAGAGATGCACTGATGGACAGCCCCAGAAACTCTGATTGGTGAACAACTTAACTCTGTCTTCCTTCAGTTTAGCACTTGCTGGTGAGCCCAGAGGAAGCACAGAGAAATGAAAGTGCCTCTCAGGAAGCTCCCATTATAGGGAGAGCCACGGACACACGGCTGATGATGATGTAGTAGGTGTGTGGCCGGCTTGGAAGGAGCAGCTTCTGTTGACGACCAGCCCCTGGTGACAGGGACAGGCACGCACTGTACCTCCTCCACAGCTAGCAAGGCATCGGGCTGGCAGAGGGAAGCATCTAGCAGCTACCTGCCGGAAATACCTGCAAGGAAATACGAAGTGGTTAAATTTTTGTGGTTTTTAGTATCTCAAAGATTAAGTTTCAAGAAAATGTTGGGCTCATGTTTTTAAGGTAAAAATCAGGCACATCTTGTCAATATATGGTTTTGAAAGCTTTGAAGAAGAAAATTGGAGGCTCTGGGCTTTTTAGCTTTCTCTTCAGCTAGAGCTGAGGGACAGCCGCACACGGGAATCGGACATCCCATTGCACGGCTGTGCAGAGCCGGCTCAGACTTCCCAGCCTGACGAGCCACAGCGCCTTTCTTAGGGAAGAAGCTTCATCTCCAAGGATTAGTATTAATTTAGGAGAATCAATCAAAAATTTAAAAACTCTGCGGCAAACGTGGTGTTTTGGACTCATTCCACTAAATCAGAAATAGCAGTTGGAATTTCCCTTTCAGAAGCATCGTTTCTTAATTAAGACAAGGCCATGGCAAGTTTTATCCAGAGAATCATCAGAGGAAGGGGTGAAGGCACTTCTGTGCCACTTGGATGGTGCTGAGGCCGGATGGCCCCCCAAGCACAGAGGCTCTCAGGCTTGAGGACTGAAGGTGGTGCGGGGAGGGCTGAGCAGCAGAGGGGGTCTGGGTGCCACCACAGGCCCCGCAGAGCTCTCCGTGCCATTAGGACATCATTAGGTGTTTTGTAAGACCCTAGCCCAGGTTTGATCTTCTGCCTGACATGACTGCCATTTTCTTAGAAAAGCATTTTTATTGCTTTCATTTTATTGCTGAATGTCAGGGTATCCTGCAGTTACTTATTAATAAATCACCTCGGAGATGTCCTGGTCTGTGCCTGGGTTTTCTGGCTCTGTGTTCCCATAGATTTCAGGCTCTTGTGTCTCTGAACCAGTAGTTCAGCAAAATGGCATCCTATGCAGCCAGGGGTGCGCCTGCTTCCAGAAGGATTGACTCAGCTCTGAGATGCTCCAGAGTGGACCCAGTGCCCTGGGAAGAGAACGAGGTTTGGGGCTAGTGATAAAATTACAATAAAGTTAGAAAAGATAGAATTGACAGGCAAAAGTGCACCTAAGTGCTGTGATTTTGAGAATCATCCATACTGATACATTCACCTCTAATTTGATTTCTATTCTTAAATAGTTTTTTCCATTGAATAAATGTAATTTGTTCATTGTTGTATCGATGGGTATTTGTTTCCAGTTTTCTTCTTTCATAAAAACAATGCCGGCACAGACTTTTTTTTCTTAGGACGGAGTCTCGCTCTGTCACCCAGGCTGGAGTGCAGTGGCATAATCATAACTCATTGCAGTCTGGCTACTCCTGGGCTCAAGTGGTCCTACCACCTCAGACTCCCGAGTAGCTGAGACTACAGGTGTGCGCCACCATGCCTGGCTAATTTTTTAATTTTTTAGAGAGATAGGGTCTCACTATGTGGCCCAGGCTGGTCTTGACCCTCCTGGGCCCAAGTGATCCTCCCACCTGGGCCTCCCAAAGTGCTGGGATTACAGGCGCGAGCCACCACACCTGGCCTTGGATATTCTTATAATTTGTCTGTCTGTACACATCCGTAAGTTGCTTTAAGACCAGCTGTTCTCAGACTTGAGCAGCCTCACAGACCCCTGGAGGGTCTGTGGTTCCAACATGGATTCCTGGGCCCACTGCACGGTTTGTGACTGTGCAGGTGTGGGTGGGGCCTGAGGATTTGCATTATAACCAAGTTCCCAGGTGATGCTGAGGGGGACCACACTTTGGGAATCACTTCTTTAGGGTATATACCTAGGAGAGGAATTACTGGTCATAATGACACGGCTATCTTTCATTTTACTAGATTCTGTCCAATTCCTTGCCAAACATTTGCACCAGTTTATAGTCTCCCCAGCCACGTATGCACGTTCTGATTACATCTTTACTGGCACTTGGTAGCGTCAGATTTTTTAATTTTTGCTAATCTGTTGGAATGAAACGACACCATTCGGGAGTCTTCAAGCCTCTCTTTGGCTGCGTTCTTCTGCTGCCGGTCCCTGAGCCAAAACTACACTGTTGTATACTTAGTCATCTCAAGTGTTGGTTCTCAGCTGGAGACACTTTTGCCCCCGAGGGGACATTTGGCAATGTCTGGAGACCCATTTTGCTTGTTATGCCTGGGGTAAGGGTGTGCTACTGGCATCTAGTGGGCAGAGGCCAGGGACGCAGTTAAACATCCCACACTACCCAGGACAACCCCACCACCGAGAACGATCTGGTGCAAAGTGTCAGGAGTGCTGGGACTGAGCAAACGTTTTCTAGTGAAGCCTGAGTCTGCTGGAGCCATTACCACCCTGCCCTGCGTGTCCGCACGCATTTCCCGCCCTGCCCTGCGTGTCCGCATGCATTTCCCGCCCTGCCCTGCGTGTCCGCACGCATTTCCCGCCTTGCCCTGCGTGTCTGGACGTATTTATTTTCTTCATAGTTGCCATGACTCTTCTTGGGGTCTTGTCCTTTGGTATAAATGTCACAGTTTTCAAGTTTGTTGAAGAACCTTGTCTACAATTTGAGCAGAATTGCAGTAAGTTTCTGGATGGAGACACAATGGGCCTTTTAGTGGTATTGGATCTTTCTGCAAGCGCACGTGTCTCAAGCATTCCTGAATGGCGAGTAGAACTTGCCTCCGATGCTGAGACCAGTGACTTTACCTATTCTTTTTTTCTGATGGCTATAGAGATTTCCTGTTTCTCGTTAATTTTGGCAAGTTTTCCATGGACTTGTCTTTAGTTGTCCACTGTGTCAGCATAACGTTGCCCATGGTGCGCGTCTCCCCTTTAACTGTGTTCCTGGGTAGGTTTGCTTTTGCATTCTTAAAATTGTTCATGTGCCTTTTATTCCTTTCATCTCTACTTACGATGAGTGTTACCCCAGAACCTAACCAGCTTCTTTGTTCTTTCTGCTGTTTCATTAACTTCTCTTCAGTTTTGCTTTCTTTGGGCGTTTGTTTTTTTCTAACCCAAGTTGATGAATGGCTTGATTTTCAGCGTTCCTCTCTGGTAAGGCATTCAAAGCTATGGATTTCTTGCAGGGGGACCGTTTTACTTGAATCCTACAAATTTTGGCACTAATAATTCCTGGGTAAATTTTATCATTAGCATTTCATATTTGATTTGTGAACTGTTTATAAATGTTTTTTAAAATAATTAGATATGTGAAAGTTTTCCTAGCAGTTACCAATTTCTAACTAAATTTCATTGTGATTGGAGAATAGGATTTCGATTTCTCTTACTAACTTTGGGACTGCTGATGTCAGCCATCGAATAGGTATAGTGACCCGCGCCCAAGATCACGGATATCATGTTTTCACTGTCATTATGCCATTTTTTAACTTTAAAAACGTAACCCAAAATAGAAGTTCTAGATTATCTTCCTGGTGAATTGAACCATTTAAAAGTCACTAAGTACTACTCTTTATCCCAGTATTACTTTTGTTTCCCATTAAACTCTATTTTGATATTAATATAGCTATATCAGCTTTCTTCTTTGTTTGCTCATTATATCTTTTCATTTTTTAAGAAACATTTTCATGTTTCTGTGTCTCCATATTTGTCTCCTGTGAACAGAAGGTAGTTGGATTTTACTTCAGTTCAGTCGTATAATCTCTGAACTGGCAAGTTTGGCTCACTGACATTTCCTGTGATCACTGACACACTCATTACCATCTTATTTGGTGCTACAGAATTTTCCTGAAAGCTTTTCCTATGCTTCTTAGTCCAATTTTTTCTCTCCTGTTTTAAGTTATACTCCTGCCCTTTTCAAGAAGATGGCACAGACAAGTTTTCAAAACTGAAGTCAGAAGCCAAAATCTAAAAGACAGAAAGGCCTTGGCGAAAGGCTTCCGTAGGTCAGAAAGGAAACCCTCAGAAGTGTGCCCCCAAAAAGAACAAGCCTGACCAGGGTGCCATCAAATTCCCCTGATCACTCAGCCCTGAAGATCAAGCCCAGAGAACTGCTGTCCCCGTGTGGCTGAGCTCGACCCTGGCCAAGTCCGAGGCAGAGCAGGCTGGCTCATTCGGTGGGGATGCTGCTGCCAAGCATGGGACTATCTAAACCGTAACACTTTTCCCCAACTGAAAACAGGAATTACTCTTACCTCTCAGTTGAGTGCTGAACTTCAGTGATTTTCTGAGCCTGAAGATAGTGAGACTCACTTTCCTCCCAGATGAAGCCGTAATCTCACATCCTGTGGCTCTGAGGACCCTCCTCTCTGCCCCGTGTCTTTGTTCAGGAGGGTGATTTGGCCCTGGTGACTCCTTGTTATGACTGTTCCATTCCAGGTTTTACATTAACTCACACACTCACACGTCTCTTTGCTTAACATGCTTTCTTGCACTCAGTCCTTCCTTGGCTGTGCCTCCAGCGAGAGCAGGCTCGTCATGACGTGTTTCTTCTTGGTCTCTGCTTCTCCTCTCCTGGAGCTTAAATGATACCTAATGTTACACCATTTTAGAGATGACATTTCTCTCTCCTCTTTGAACTTACTCCACAGTCTTCTGGCTTTTATTATTGTTGTTCAGAAGTTGCCTGTCATCCTAATTATTTCCTTTTCTTTCTTAACCTGCCCTCTCTCTCTGGCTGCTTTTTAGAGAGCCTTTGTCTTTGATGTTCTTCAACTTCAAAGCAATTGATGTAGGTGAGGATTGCTTTGATCTCGCTTGGAATGTTTTGCTTTTTAAATCTGGGTCCTGAGGTCTTTCATCGATTTGGGAAAATCATCAGCTTCTTTGAATAGAGTTCTCTTCCCTTCTTGGCTCTGGGGAAACGTGACCAGATGCTACGCTTCTGTGTCTCACATACCTCTTATGCTCGCTCGCATTTCCCTTTGTTCCTCTATGCTGCATTGCACAGATTTACTCATCCTGCCATCTAGTTTATTTATTTTCTGTGGGGCTGTGCCTCAAGTTTGAGATTTCAGTCTCTTCTACCTAGTCATTATTTGGCTCTCTTTCAAATGTCTGTCCTTATTTTTGACACCTTGTTTTTGACTCTACCTTTCCTGTGACTGCAGTGTGTGAACAGCCATCTCAAGTTCTTTAGCAAGGATACTGTTTGTTTCTGCTGCCCCTCACTCGGAGTGGCTCATTTCATGTGTTACAAATGCCAGATTGGGTTGGGATTGACTTGGTATAAACCAAGGTTAAGGGAGGGTCATTCCAGAAAAAATTTGCATTTGCTTCTGCCAGGCATCCCCACGGCTAGGATATGGCTTGTGGTTTTCTGGACCACAGAGGTAGTTTGCCTATGAGGAAAGACCTGTGAGGCGTCCCGTGCTCAGGGCCGGGCTGAGGCTGACCAGGCACGTGCTGTTTCTTGGGGTCGCCGTCTGCTGGTGGGCTGGGTTTGGTTCTCTCCTAGTCTGTGCTTCCACTGCAGGGAGCTCTGGCAGCTTACACATGTTCAAACCCCTTCAGCCATTAGGCCTAAGAAATGTTCCAAGAGCAGTGGAAACTCCACTTGCAATTAGAGGACAGTGCGTGCCTGGAAGGTTCGGGGCAACTGTAGGCGGGACGCAGAGCCCTGGCTGGCAGGGAGGAAGGTCGCTAACTGTTGCTGCAGGAATGTTGGCCTCTTTGAGACAGGCGGAGGGTCCTACTCCAAACAGCCGGGAATCACTTAATGCGGAGATGGGTCTTCAGCGTCCCAAAGGGCTGGGGAGGAGCAGATTAAGGAAAGTGTAAAAGGTATAATAGTTGCCAAGGGTGATTTAGGATGCATTTAAAGTGCCAGACTGGCATATGTCATCTACTAATATGTTGCTTCAAATTCCGTTTTGAAGTAAGCTTAGAAATGCAATGTAGTTAGCCTAATGCCGTGTCCTTCCTCGTGTCGCTGATCTCTCCGCAGAGCCCATAGGCAGCATGTCGTCCATGGAAGTGAACGTGGACATGCTGGAGCAGATGGACCTGATGGACATATCTGACCAGGAGGCCCTGGACGTCTTCCTGAACTCAGGAGAAGAGAACACTGTCGTGTCCCCCGCCTTAGGTAGGGTTGACAAAGTCGGTTCAGCTGAACCGGGGCTACACCGATGCCACTCCCCTCCAAAGGGAGAAGTGAGAAACATCTGCCAGTCACTTACACACAAACCCCCAAGCGCACAGCCAGCTCCTGGCTCCCCTCCCCACGGTTCCACACGGCTGCGTGGCAGCTGCGACAGTGGCGTGGTTCTGTCTTGAATTCTTCTCAAAGATTTGACACGCTCCACTCCGGTGACTTTGGTGAGCTAAGAGCTTTCTTGTGTTCCCTCCTTTACCACCCAGAAATCCATCTGAGTCTGCTCCTTGTGATTAAGGACTGGCGTTTGCAGGGAGGTGCAGACCCTCCTGCGTGGCTCACACGGAACTCTTCCCTCTTGATGCGGCAGGCATTTAGGGGCATGCCTGCTATGGGGCAAAGCCATGGTGTATGTTCAGCTCTTGGCCTGTGTTGTAAAACTTCAACTACTTCAGTTCCTTTCATCCCTTCCCAAAATTGTGTTTCACATTCATGCAGCAAATATTGACCAAGGTGCCAGACCTGTACCTGGGGGCTCGGTGCATTTCAAATTTCAGACCAGTTCTTCTGGCTGGGTCAAGGCAAAGCTCAGTCCTCCTGGCAGCACTTCAGCCATCTCTAGAAGGTTCTACCATTACCAAGGTTTCTGCTTCCTCTAAACTTCTCACCCACTTCTGGCAACATCAGAATGGTGTCATCCCAGGGAAGAGAAGGGGCTTGGGTGCATTTGCCCCCATCCTGAGAAGGCTGGAATACTGGAAACCAGAATGAACCCTCACCTAGAGTCAAGGAAAGATTTAGAAACAGTGACACCTGAATATAGAATTTTGATTCCTTGAAGAGCCTATTTAGTTCCACAAAATTGGAGACCTGCTGAAAGGTAATTTCGACTGTCTCAGCAGTGGTGTCTCTGAATTACTGAAAAGGGTAAAAAGAAAGACATCTAGATTATCAAGGTTACAGGGACTGCTCCTCCAAGATACGCAGCACTTGCCCTCGGGCCTCTATTATACACTATTACATAGTTCTAGGAGCTCTTGATCTTGGTCACAGGTGGCTGACTCCTTAGGGGACGGCAAGGCCACTGCAGGGCCTGAGACTGCCTCTGGCATCACTCAGCTCAGTGTCTTCCAGGGCAGGCCCCAGGTCCCTGGAACAAAAAGCACATACCCCTTTCATGATGGGCACATTCCACAGCTGTTGGCAGCAGTTCTAATCCGCAATCTTTTTATGACAGGACTTTTTCTTCCCTACGTTATTTTGCAGGGCCTGAATCCAGTACCTGTCAGAATGAGATTACCCTCCAGGTTCCAAATCCCTCAGAATTACGAGCGAAGCCACCTTCCTCTTCCTCCACCTGCACCGACATGGTCACCCAGGACATCAGTGAGGGTGGGGAGTCCCCCGTGGTTCAGTCTGATGAGGAGGAAGTTCAGGTGGACACTGCCCTGGCCACGTCACACACTGACAGAGAGGCCACTCCGGATGGTAGTGACGACAGCGACTCTTAAATTGGGACGGGACTTGGGCGTTGTCTGGCCACACGAATCCGGTTTCGGCTGTGTGCGGAATTCCACTGGGAAAGCCAGCTTGTTCTATAGAGGGTCTTGGTTTTTACATAATTGCCAATAATGTGTGAGAAACTGAAAGAACAGCTAACAATAAAGTATGAGGATGGTAAACTGAGAGCGCACGGAGCTAGTTTATACACAAAGGCTTCTAAATACACACGTCCTTAAGGTCACTGTAACTCAGGGTTCCTTAGAGTGAAGGGACGCGCAGGTCACTGGGGGCTGCCCCAGGAGATTGCATGTGGGCAGGGTCTGGGCCAGGCAGGGGAGGCTCCATGGGGCTCGGTTCTGTATGAGGCAGGGAATGACCTGCCATTTCACAGCTGGAAAAGGCCACTTCCTGTAGAAGAGCTGACTAGCCAAACCACTCTGGCAAAGCTTGGGGTTTTCCTTTGATCATTACAGAATTATCATCAGTCCAATAGCCAACCAGTCCAACCCCTACTGTCATACGCCCGGGCCCAAAAGAACAGAAACAAGCCCAAAGCAATCCTCCTTTCTTTATGAAAAGAAACTGGTCCCCTGGAGATATGTTCCTGCCATCACTCCTCCAGCCCAACGAGAGAACGAGAGCGCGAGAGCGCGAGCTCCCCGCCGAGATGAGGGGGCTGTCTGCGGTCATACCACCCGGAATGTACCCAGTGTCCGCCCATCCGCCCATCCTGAAAGCTCAGGGGGGCATGGCTCGATGGGAAATGAGGGGGACAGCCGCAGCCCACGAGCAGCTCTGGCCCAGCCTACCGGGCCACATGGAAACCATTAGGTTACGCTGAAGGGGACCCAGCGGCAGGTGGGAGCTGTGGGAGCAGGACTGCAGCGGGGGCGTGGCTCTGCTCCCTGGCTACAGGCGATTCTCTGACCCCTGCCCATGGATGAGAAAAGAAAGAGCTCATTCCATTCAGTCATCTTCCACAAGACAGACAAATGTCCAAAAAACTTTGTTTTTATTATTAAACCTTGTAGTACAAACCTGAAAAGTAAACAAAAAACTCGCAATAAACCACATGAAGTCTCCCTCCCAAGGGAGGGGTGCAGAGCAGCGCTAATAAATTAAATGTCAAACTGTAAGCCATAGGCAGAAGTTTACTGTCAAAAAGAGGGAAAGTACACAGCAAGGCCATAGAAACCGGACAACCACATTGGAAAACACTTGACTCTGTTTCTGTAATTGTTAAATATTCCAAAACAGTTCAGTCTTCTGCAACAACAACCAACAAAGTGGATCATAGGACGTTCCTGGCAGTCACCACTGGCAAGCTCAGTGCAATATGGGTAGCTACGGGATTGATGAATCCAATTATGAAACAAAGAACAGCTTGTGAAAACAGTTTCCCTTTTTTATTCCACACATACTGTACACACAACCGGAGAAGGGCAACAGCTACTCCATTATTATTTTTTTGTTGTTGTTCAGTGATGTAAGCAGCACTTATAAATGTTACAAGAAAAACCCTGTAAGCATCCAATCCAACCGATGAAGAAACTGAAATGTAAGGCTTTTCTTCATCTTGTCTTCTCACCCCCCTCCCCACCCCCCACCGAGAAAAAGGCTCAAGTATTTAAAACAATTTACAGGCATATGTACAAAAGGGATGGGATTTTTTTTTTCTTTTTTCCTTTTTGTTACAACATGAAGAGAAAAAATAGAGAAGATGAACGCAAATGCATTTTCACATTCAAAAATAACTGCAGGCCTCCTAGTGGCTCTCTACGTGATCATAAACGAAACAAATTTTAAAAGAAAGATTAATGCTGACTTGTGAAGGTGTCAAACAAGAAGCGGTGAGATGGAGATGGAATGTTAGAAAGATTGCACGTCGATGACAAAGAAGCACTTACGGCTTCCATCACTTTTTTCCTTTTTTTTTTCTTTTTTTTTCTTTTTTTTTTTAAATCTTAAGGATGCCATTGAAGGGTTTTTTGATAAAGTAGCCAACAGCACCAAAAAATAACAGAATGGATTTCCTAATGAAATCAGGCACAGGTCTCCCTCATGTGACCCCTCCGAGGCAGGCAGTCTTTTCCGTCTTCCTCGCTCGCTTTTCTTCTTTCCTTGAACAGATGCATAGTGATGTGCTGGTGGAGAGCCCACTCGCTCCCGTCTCCTCGTTCCGCCTATGGTTAGGAAACAACGTCCGCCTTCAGCTGCCACAACCGCCCAGAGAAACAAAACGGGGGTGCCCCGGCTTCCCAGATCACAAGCTCATCTGGCACACGGCAGAAGACGACAGCCAAAGCAAAGCCATTTCAAGTTTTGTGTGTGTGTGTGTGTGTGCGCGCGCGTGTCTCCTATCCCTTCTAAAAAATCTGCTCACGTGACTGATGGTTTTTAAATTTGTTCTCCAAACTTCACCCTCTTCAAAAATGGGTTAAAAAGCCTTTTTTTCCCCAACAGTTACAAAAAAAAAAAAAAAAAAAATTAAAACAACAAAAAAAAAGGCTTTTGTCAGCCATGGGGCAATACAAATTAATACAGCCCCTGCAGGGTTTTTAAAACAGTGACTATACGGCAGTTTCCAAAATCTGACTGCAGTATCTAGGTTTTCTAAGTACAAAAAAAAGTTCAACAGTTTAATGCTAAAACAAAATTAGTTCTCTAAAACCAGAAGAAAATCTTCTTTAGAGCTAGTGCAAAGACAGCTTCAATCCTACAGCAAGTACTCCAAACTAGAATATAATAATTACAAAAAAATATATATAAATCGACCACGGGCGTTGGCATCTTCATGATGAGCTCGAAGCACTTTTGGATGAACCGGAGGCTGACAGCCGGGAGGGGGGCACGTCCACTGTCGCTCTCTTGCGGGGACCTCTTTTTGGTGTGGGTTTACTGAGACAGTTCTCAATGCTGCCGTTTTTACCAGACACTTTGCCGCAGATCTGATTGACCAGACTGATAATCTGTTCCTGTTTGGGGGTGAAAGGAAGGCACAATTAACATACCATATTAACAATTAGCATACCATATTAACAGTTAACATACCATATTAACAATTAGCATACCATATTAACAATTAGCATACCATATTAACAATTAGCATACCATATTAACAAGAGCTCTGTCCCTGACAGCCACGCAGGGGCAGGTTTAGGGCAGAGGGCAGCGGCGTAGCCGTCCCCTTCACACCAACCAACAGTGTTTACAATGTCCCCAAGAGGCTCAGACGCAGTGAGTCTCCCTTTCCCAGCTCCTCCTGACGCCACACAGCAGGCACGGCCCTTTCATCCTCATCAATACCCTGGTCCACCATGGTTTGCCTGCTCATAAGGGCAGGACTGGCAGG